CCCTGCTACATTCCAACGTGTGATGGACAACATCCTCCGCGGTATCCAAAACGAAAAATGTTTAACATATTTAGACGACATAATAGTGTTTTCAACCTCTTTACAAGAACATATAGATAGACTTAGATGCGTTTTTCAAAGACTCCGTGATTCAAACTTTAAAATCCAGTTAGATAAATCCGAATTCTTGCGGAAAGAAGTGGCGTACTTGGGCCACATCGTAACACCTGAGAAGGTACGCCCAAATGCGGATAAAATGATAGCCATCAAAAGTTTTCCTATCCCAAAAACTACCAAACAAATAAAATGATTTTTGGGACTATTGGGTTATTACCGTAGATTTATCAAAAACTTCTCAAAAATTACGAAACCCCTTACTAACTGTTTAAAAAAGGCTGCAAAAATTGAAATTAACGACGAATATATATCTTGCTTTGAATATTGTAAAAACCTGTTGATGAATGAACCTATTTTACAATACCCGGATTTCTCCAAGCCATTCAATTTAACCACTGATGCCAGTAATGTTAGTTTAGGCGCGGTTTTATCTCAGGGACCAATCGGAAAAGACCTTCCAGTTGCGTATGCGTCGCGAACATTAAATAAGTCAGAACAAAATTATTCCGTAATCGAGAGGGAACTTTTAGCAATAGTATGGGCCACGAAATATTTTCGCCTATACTTATTTGGAAAAAAATTCAATATTATCACGGACCACAAACCACTACAATGGTTATTTTCGTTAAAAGACCCCAACTCCAAATTGTTACGCTGGAGAATAAAACTAGACGAATATGACTATACAATACTATATAAAAAGGGTAAATTAAATACAAATGCGGACGCTCTTTCCAGAGTAGAGATTCACACTAAAGAATTTCTTGACGACATAGACAAAATAATTTTAGACAGATCACAAGAAAATTCTAGACTTGACGAGATTATTCAAGACTTGAGAAATCTTGAACCTCATCATTCAAACTTTGACCAGGCATCCTTACAAGTACATCCCGACACTGATACTCTAAACGATTTAGAACCCCAAAATGAAAACGACGACGACACTGTACACTCAAATTCCGACGAAAATCCTATCGTAGGAATTCCAATTGCAGAATGTCCTGTTAATCACGGAATAAATCAAATTTTTGTAAGTTCGGTACTACATTCCCCAGCCATACCTAAAATAACAGTTCTTTTTGAAAACCGAAAACGAATCCATGTACAAATTTCTGAGTATAATTTCGAAAATGATGTGGTAAGATTTATAAAAGAATACGTATCGCCAGATACTGTATATCACATGTATTTCGAAAGTCCCAACATATACGAAAAATTTTGTAACACATTACATAAAAAACTTTAAATGGCCTTTTATTAAATTGAAAAAATGTAACCAAAAACTACTGGATGTTACAAATAAAGACGACATACAAGAAATCATACAAAACTACCACGAGGGTAAATCCAACCACCGTGGAATAGACGAAACAGTTATCAAAATCAAAGAAAAATACTATTGGCCAAGATTAAAAGATTCCGTGCAATCATACATTAACGATTGCGAAATCTGTCAAAAAAGTAAATATGAACGCAACCCCTTGCATATAAAAATGAATGTAACCCCTACAGCCACAAGACCCTTCGAAATCGTTCATATAGACACATTTACATTCGAAAAATCTAAATTTCTTACTATAATTGATAGCTTCTCAAAATATGCACAAGCTTACCCAATAGATTCTCTAAACTCTACTGAAATTGCTGACAACTTAATTAATTTCTTTTCGCATCATGGAAACCCCTATCAAATTACCGTAGATAATGGAACAGAATTTAAAAATTCTATAATTTGCGAACTTTTAGCACTACATAAAATAAATATTCATTTTTGCTCACCAAATCACCCTTAATCAAATGGTATGATTGAGAGACTACATTCCACTCTAATTGAACATCTCCGACTTCTCAACAACCAAGGGTTTCAAAACACCCCCGCAAAACTAAAAATGACATACGCAATCTTAGCTTATAACAACTCGATTCACTCTTCAACCAAATTTAAACCTATTGATGTATTGCAAGGACACGTAAGTAGTAACGACCCTTTTAGAATCGAAATTGGTAAAATGTTATTAAATAATTACATCGATAATCATAGAGAACCAACCAAAATTTTGTATTCCAAAATTAATCAAGATCTAATAAATCGCAAAGATAAAATTATTGAAAAGGTCAATAAAAATCGCGAGGAACCCGATATGTTTTCTCCTCAACAAAAGGTTTTTGAAAAAAATATTGACAGACGAAAAAACGCTAATAAATTCAAAAAACCAGTAACTTTAAAAGTAGTTAGAAATACTAAGAAAACAGTAGGTACTCATACACAAGACAAAATTCACATGAATAATCTAAAACGCCCCCTCAAAAACACGTATGATTTTAAAACTAAACAAACTTAATTTTCTTTAGATATTTTGGGACCCTCGGAGCCTCATCCAAAATTACAATGAAAAATCTGGAAAATAACTTTGGACTCATACCCGTCAAATTAGGAACAGCTAAAATAAAAGTTATTTTAATCTAATTCATTATTGTGACCTAAATCCGATAATTGTGGAAATTGATAAATTGAAAAATCATTCAAGGGATCTAAAAACTCATGCCTCAAAAAACATATATTATTCAAGCGACATTGCAAATTACTTAAAAATCTTCATTCACCGAAGAAAAAGTTGAAAGTAAACTAGTTGAAATTTTACCCTCCTTCAACTCATAGGACAAAAAGAGGACTCATTAATGGGCTAGGATCTATATTCAAAGCTATATCAGGTAACTTAGACTCCACTGATGGAGAACGGTATGAACTATTAATAAAACAACTACAAGAAAATCAGGATAACATGGCCGTAAATATAAAAAAACAAAATTTGTTGTCAATTTCACTAATACATAAATTCAATTTAACCGTTAATCAAATATTACATAATGAGGAAATTTTAAAAGAAAAACTATCGCTTCAGTTGTAGAAACAACTATCGAGTTAGGAAATACAATAATAATAAAAGACACCCTTATTCAAATTATTAATATGTTGGAAATAATTATTTCAATATTGCAAGATATCATTCTCAAAACTTAATATTATGCACCCAACTATCATGAAAACCGCAGATTTCTTTAAGGAATTACAAAAGTTTGAAAGGAAATTAAAGGGCAGTCAATTTCCACTTGAAGTAACTTTAGAAAACATTTTGATATATGAAAAACTGATAAAAATCGAGAGCTACGTATTTAACAACAAAATAACTTATATAATTAAAATTCCCTTAACGACTATTGAACATTTTGACTATTACCATTTGTACCCTGTACCAGTCGAGAAACAGGGTCAGTTAAAAGCAGTAATTCCAAAGAATAATTACTTAATAAAAGATAACTTCAATTACGCGTTTATGAGCAAGCCTTGTCTTAAGCTACACCCAGCAACATCATATATTTGCGGCGAAACTAACCTCCAAGGGATCAAGAAAGAAAATCCATGCGAAATAGTCCTCTTAAATATCCAAAACACCTCCACATGTCAACAAACACGAATCACAACAAAACAACCTTAGTTCGAAAGATTAGATCGAACAAATCAATGGATAGCAACTTTCCCATCAAAGGAACCAATCACCCTTCAATATCATGATCAAACAGAAGTCATTGAAGCCATAGGCAGTTACCACATTCAAATTCCAGTCGGCTGTTTAGTGACCACAAAACAGAAAAAACCGCAAATGAAGAAAACTTTCAAACTTCAAGTCAACCAATGTTGTTTCCCGAACTACAATTCCAAAATTCTGAATCGTCAAAATTAAATCTCAATCTTGAATTAGAAGAAGTCAACCTAGATGAACTACACCAAATTAAATCAAAATTCGTCGAAAATGAACCAATAACCAAGTTCCAAGGAGTGCGCTACTTCCCCAGTATATGGACAATATTTATGTATTGTTTTTTGGCCTTACTAACAGGAGTTTTTGTTGTTAAAAAAATCTCAACCTATCATAAGCCAGTAAATCAAGAAGAAGTACCAGTAGACCATACCACCGTTCAACTCCCTCGCTAATCCTTTGGAGTTGAATCTTCGAGGGGAGGAATTACATCAGCCCTAGTAACAGATCCTGCAGATGTCGGCGTTATCAGAGTTACCAGTTTCTAGGAAACCGCTGATTAGGACTTTATGCATTTTTATCTAGTTTTCTCATTTTTAACATCATTATACATTTATATTTCTTGTAGTACAGATCGTAGTTGTAGAATTTTAACATAGAAAAAATAATTAAATTTTTTAAAAAGCTATTTTCAATTTGAAAGTTTATTTTTCGCATGTGAGTAGGTAATTCAACTACCAAAAGTAATATTTAAAATAACAAATTAAAAACTATTAACTTGATATATAGGAATTAAAGTACTTTTTGATTGCAATAATCAAAATATAGACGTATTTAACTAGTATCTTTAAAAATAAAAACTAGTATCGTAGACAGTAGAAAACATTACAAAATAAATTCTAAATTTCTATTGCAACCCTTTGCGAAACGTTCTGTCTACATTTATGTCAATGTCTTTATGAATGTGTAATAGAGCTAATCCATTGAGACGATTTTCTTCCATTGTAGATCGAAGCAAAGATTTTAACCTCTAAGCTGGAAAAGCTCCTTTCTGATGAGGCAACACTGACTGGCAATGTGCAATAAATTTTAATAAAATCATTTACATGTGGAAAAATATTTCTATTGCAAGCAATTAATGCACTTAAACCGTTCTTTGGAGGATCTTTATTAGATATTATGTTATATTGCCTTCCAAATGATCATTTCACTTCTGAAGGCTGTTTTAACCAAGTCCCTATTTTCTTGAAAATATTGACCATATGTCTCACTTAGCACCTGAACTATATTATTAACAGCTGCTTCTTCTGATTGAATTAGATTCGAAGGAATGCATGTGCTCTAGTAAAATAATTCAATAGTACCTTTTGGAAAGCGAGACTCTAAATCTAATATAGTAGTACTATCTAGTAAAGGAATGTAGTACTCCTTTGGGGATTTCGTTTGAGGATTAGGTCGATTTCTCATTAAAGTAGTTAATCTAGGGATGGATAAATCAATTTCTAAATTCCTAGGGCAGACATTGATATCATTTAATAAATAATCAAAGTTCTGTTCGGCATTCAGGCGTTTATCTTTTAAAACGAGTAGAGTGTTAAGTAAAACATCTTGTGCACTATTGACATTTAAAACTTTCTTCTGCAATAGTTTACTTAAAGGCAGAGTTAGTGCCAAAATATTACTTGGACAATGCAAAGCAACTATAAATTCTGAAATTTGATATGGAGAGTATATGTGCCCTTGCTTTACTAGTCGATTGTCTTTCATCCCAGTCAGAAATTAATTCTAAATATGTCAAAATTTTATCTAATGATGTACTGCATTATATCGTTCTACCCAACGTGCTTCGCATAATCCAGAACGTTATTGACCCGGAGTGTTTTTCAGTACAAAATTACATTTTGCTGATGCTGTGAAAAGGAAATTACTTCTTTTATAGTCCCAACACAATTTCTAATGCTTTGAACAGTAGACGATTTTGACAAACTTAAGTTATGTGCATGATTGTGACAAGGACACCGTACTGCCAATTTTAAACTTTTCTGAAGTTCTTGAACTGCCATTACTTGTTTTGATATATTTACATCCATCTGTGCATATTCCAATACAATTAAGTAACGATATGTCTAGCTTCAACACTTCCTCTAAAACAGTTTGTCCTAATATACGACTTGTCACAGCAGGTTCAAAATTCAAACAAATTTTATCGTAGTTTTGTGAATAGCAATCCAAAAATCCTATAAAATTCTAATTTCATTATCGACCACGTATCTTAAAACAAGTGACATTTGAGATATATGTGCAATATCTGTTGCTTCATCGAACATAATACTGAAGTACTTAGCCGTTTTGACTTTTTTAATATTGCAGAGATTATTTCCTCTTTGCAGCACATTATCAGCTCATTCTGCGTTCTTTTGCTAAAATATGTAGCTCGAGCAGTGGTCTTTTAGGATGGTTTTCCAAGATTTTGTCTCCAGCTTCAATCCTAAAGCGGAGAAGCTGTCTAAAGTTTCCATCACTTCCATCTTCATGATCTAAAGGAGGCCCGTCATCTCTATGTCCCCGTAGATGAATATTTTGTCGACCAAGAAAAATTATGGTTTGGTTAATAGGCTTCAACCTCTTTCTGTTTTCATCTATTTGCAGCGACTAGGCGGTACCAACAAATTTCTGACATCTGTTGAAGGAACGCTATATGTTAATAAAAATATATTAGCTCTCAAAACAGCTTCACCATGATATTTGTTTGAATTGTGCCATTTAACAAACTTTTTCGAATTTGGTCATACCTAATTTGCATTTTATATAGATAAAATTAAATAATTTATCAATTAAAACATGCGATTTATTTAGAAATAAAAACAAGTTTATTTTTATTATTTTGACAGGCAAATTTTTGTAAAACCATGTATTTTGAACAGCGCTAGCAACACCAGCGCCCTTGCGGTAAATTAAAAAAGCTTAATTAGCGTTCGTTTGTTAGAACCGTTTTTCGCCTCTTTATATACGTCACAAATGATGACTTGGTCATTGTCAGAAACATTCCAGGTACGTTTGAGGGAGAATGAGGCGTTTATTCGTGTAATGATACTGTGAGGAAAGTGTCTGCTCTATTTTTAAATGTTTGTTAAAGTATAAAATTTAAATACAAAATAGTTTATTTTAAATTAATTTTATTAAATATAAAAAATAAATAATTATTAAGTATATGTAGTCGTATCTAACAGTAATCTCTACCAACAGTCTTCTCAGTTTTGATTTAATTTACTAAAAAAAAAAAAAAAAATAGAAATCATATACATTGTACAGTTTTAAATTAGGTAAAGTAAACCAAGATGATATGGAAAATTATATAAAATTGGCTTTTTGGCCAAATTGCGTCATCAGTATGTCCTGTACTTTGATTCACTGAAAGAATGGACAATCTTTGTGACTGTTAGTCTGGACACAGTAAGTTCCATGAACCCTAAAAAGTGTAAATTTTAAGATTATTGTAAATGTTACTTATCTATACAGGGTGTGCCAATGAAAAGTAGCCCATTTTCAGAGCTTATAACTTTTAAACACCTAATCGTAGAAACGTGCGGTTGTTGCTGATATGTGTTATTTTTCTATAAGTTTTGCTTCAATAACACAGAAATTATGTATTACCTATACAGGGTGTTTTTAAAAAATTGTTTTAAATTCACCGTAACCAAATTTTATCAAATGGAACACCCTGTATATGTTTAGGTCTAAAAGATACACTCTTCTACTTTTCAAAAATGTATAATTTGTACATGGTATTTTACAAAATAAATTTGATAAAATTTGGTTACGGTGAATTTAAAAGAGGAGATTTTTAAAGAAACAGCCTGTAGTAATACATAATTTCTGTGTCACTGAAGCAAAACTTATAGCAAAATAACACATATCAGCGAAAACCGTACTTTTCTACGATTAGGCGCTTAAAAGTTATAAGCTCTAAAAACGGGTTACTTTTCATTGGGACACCCTGTATTTGTAGACAGCTCTTGGCATTGTTCATTATAAACATCGATCTCTAACCAATATTAAAAATATGGTATTCCCTAATTCACATCGGTATTCAATAATTTAACTATTCCAATCAAGTAGATAACCAGTAGATGGGATTAGCCAGTTCTGGACCAAGGTCAGAGGCAAGGTCAGAGGCAATTGGTGTAATTAGTAATTACCCTAAGTACCCACCCCCCACCCTTCGAGCAAGTACCCCCCACCCTTCGAGTAAGTACCCCCCACCCTTCGAGCAATTAGCAAGTACCCCCCCACCCTTCGCGCAATTAGCAAGTACCCCCCACCCTTCGCGCAATTAGCAAGTACCTCTGAATTACTCTGTACACCATGTTATTGCATAGTGTAATGAGTGTAATTGCATAGTGTAATGAGTATAGTAAGTACCTCTCAGTACACATAGTGATGTAAGGACCAACCAATTATTCTGTACTGAGTGTAATTGCATAGTGTAATGAGCATAGTAAGTACCTCTCATTACACCATATGCATACCTCTCAGACAGTATTTACTGTGTATATCACGTAGTGTAATAAGTCTAAGTACTTCTCTTGTTTACTGTTGTAGCATAGGGGAAATAAGTCGGCGCCATGCACACCCTTGACTCTCAACCGCCATAGCTAAAGTGAATCACCGGTCTTCGGCAGACACGCGCGATGTAAATATTGTTGGAAGGGGTAGTATCCCACCCTTCGCGCAATTAGCAAGTGCCTCCCAATTATTCTGTAAATTATATACTTTAATGAACGTAATTGAGTAGTGTAATGAGCATAGTAAGTACATCTCATTACCTCCTAGTGATTACTATGTATTTAGAATTTACGTTACTCTATACCGAAGTAACAAGAATTGGAGCTGTTCCCGTATATTATGAATAGGGGAGGGGAGCATAGTGGAGGTGGGGATTTATTGAGAGGTATATAATATCACATCTATACGAATGAGATCAGTCGCGAGCTATAAGTGCGTTGGAAGTTTCATTATCTAATATCGAAATAATCATAAAAATAGTAGATATGTATAAGTGTAATTGCGGTTTAACATTTACAAGAGCAGATAATTTACGACGACATCAAAATAAAAGTTGTAATCTGATATCTAACCGCAATGGTGAATCATCCAGCGGTACGAAAAGAACCGCCAATTCAAGCCCGGATGTTTTACCGGTAAAACAAGCTCGTGTAATGCGAGTTTCACATCGTACCGTAGACCCTCAAGTTCATAAAAGTAGATGTGAATCATGTAATGTAGACATCGCAACCAATCAGATGACATCACATATGAGGAGTCTTAGTCATAAAGAAAAGGCATGCACAATTCATGTCGATGGTATATATTTAATTAAGAGTGCATTTAAGTGCAGAATCGCAAGTTATAGAGTCAAAAGTGATGAAAAACATATAGACTATATAACATTTTTTGAGGCTATAAAAGTGAGGGTATTGGAATTGTTGAAAGTTGTTCTGAGGGCCCATAATGCCATTAAAGTTAATGTAGAGGTCTTCGCTACATATGTATTGCAGAGCCAAGATAATTCTGAAATCAAATCTTTTAATAGCATAAATCGAATACTAGATTTGCCGACGGATTTGGATGTGGTATATGCAAACTTTAAGGACGCCTTGGTATCTCAAACCGTAGACTTCCAACATAAAGATTCAGGTATAGTAGTTATATAATATATAATATATCGGTAACTAATAAATTATTCATTGTTTCAGGTTGGTCATTACAGGAAGTACTATTTCTAGAAGTTAATATAAATAAGTACTCTCCGTTAGGAGGCTGCTCATACATAAAGCTGCCTAAGTTTATTGAAACCAAGAAGGGTGTAGTGAATGTGCAGAATAATGATGCGTACTGCTTTGCTTGGGCCATCACATCAGCTCTATATCCAGCCAGAGATCATGTTAGCCTAATGTCATCGTATCCACACTTCGAGACCGTGCTGAATGTTGATGGCATTGAATTTCCCATGAAGCTTAAAGACATTTCAAAATTTGAAGACCTCAATGATATAAGTGTTAATGTTTATGGCTTGGAACATAGTTATGAAAATGGTAAGGCTAAATTTGAAATAGTAGGCCCGTTACGATATTCCCGTAGAAGGTTAGGGCATCATATAAATTTACTGCTAATAACAGAAGATTCCGGTAATAGTCACTATTGTTGGATTAAAAGTATATCCAGATTAGTTTCGAGTCAAATAACTAAAAATGGTCATAAAAATTTTTTTTGTGACGGGTGTTTACTTTATTTTCCATCTGAAAGCGTCCTATTACGTCATCAATTGTGCGATTGTAATCATATATATACCAGTACACCATCAGTGGAGCTTAAAAAAGACAAACGCGGTAATTATGTCCCCGAAAATATACTGAAGTTTCAAAATTATGGTAAGCAACTAAGAGTCCCATTTGTAATTTATGCCGATTTTGAATCGATCCTAAAACCTATAGATCATTGCGAACCAGATCCGGAAAAAAAATTCACCATCCCTACATACCAACATGAGCCATATGCTTTTGCATATCTGATTAAATGTTCATTTGATGATTCATTGACGAAATTTGTAACTTTTACCGGCGATAATGCCGCGAGCGATTTCGTAAAACGCTTAGAGGATGATGTATTAACTATTTATAATACTCATTTAAAAGACATTGTTCCAATGCAGCGACTGTCTAAAGATGAAATAGATGATTTTAACACATCGACTATATGCTCTATTTGCGATGAGACCTTTCAAGAAGGCGAAGTTAAAGTAAGAGATCATTGCCATCTTACCGGTAAGAAAACACCCGGCGCCGCGCATAGCAATTGTAATTTAAATTATAAAATCCCGCAATTTGTCCCAATATTTTTCCATAATTTGAGTGGGTATGACAGCCATTTATTTATTAAAGAATTGTATGGGGAAGGTGAGAGGGCCGAAGTTATTGCCCAAAATAAAGAAAAATATATTTCGTTCACAAAACCATTGTACACCCATAGCTATGTAGATAGAGACGGTATTTTGAGAAAAAATTACATAAAACTCAGATTTTTGGATAGTTACAGATTTTTAGCGGATTCCTTGGTTGGGCTGTCGGAAAACTTGCCATCAGAATTTTTTGTTGAAACAAGGAAATGTTTTGCAGAAAAAGAAAAATTTGATTTGATGAGACAGAAAGGGGTGTTTCCATATAATTTCATGGATAATATATTGAAATTAGATCACCCAAATTTACCCTCAAAAGATGAGTTTTATGATAAGTTAAATGATTGTCACATATCCGACGAGGATTACGCGAGGGCCCAGAAAGTGTGGGATGTATTTAATTGCCAAACCTTGGGATCGTATTCTGATTTATATTTAAAATCAGATGTTCTAATGTTATGCGATATATTTGAAAATTTTAGAGATGTATCGCTTAAAGCATATAAACTCGATCCAGCGCAATATTATACATCTCCAGGTTTGTCATGGGATGCGATGTTGCGCTACACCAAGGTGGAGTTAGAGTTGCTGACAGATATTGATATGATTAATTTCTTCAAAAATAGTATACGTGGCGGTATCAGTCAATGTGTGGAAAGAAAACATATTGCCAATAATCAGTATTTATCGGAATATAATCCCTTCGAGCCAAAGTCCTCTATACATTATATTGATGCCACAAATCTCTATGGGTATAGTATGAGTCAGCCACTACCCACAGGAGAATTTGCATGGTTATCGACGGAGGAAATTAATCAACTCGATGTAATGTCAGTTGATGATCTCGGGGATTATGGCTATGTATTAGAAGTTGATGTAACATATCCACAACACCTTCATGATAAACACGCCGATTTACCATTTTTAGTGGAGAATATAATTCCACCTAATTCCAAAACAGAAATCCCCAAACTGGTGCCGAATTTAAACCACAAAGACAAATACATACTACACTATAGAAACTTTAAGCAGGCCATAAATAATGGACTAATTGTAACTGAAATTCATCGCGCCCTCAAGTTTAAGCAGTCACGTTGGCTGAAAAAATACATAGATCTCAATACTAATATGAGAAACAATGCCAAGCACACATCTGAGAGAAATCACTTTAAGCGCATGGTCAATAGTGTGTACGGGAAAACTATGGAAAACGTGGATGACAGACGAGATATTTACCTTAAAACCCACTGGGTTAGTAAGAGAAATTCCCCAGGCGCAAACAATTTAATTGCTCGACCGAATTTTAAGTCTTGTTCTATATTTTCAGAACACTTTGTGGCTATACATATGGGTAGAACCAAAATATGCTATAACAAACCATTGTACATCGGTTTCACAGTGTTGGAATTGTCAAAAGTAAGGATGTACGATTTTTATTATGGAATATTAAAACAGCAATTAGGTGATCAAATTTCATTACTTTACACAGATACCGATAGTTTTGTACTTAAAGT